TATATATTATATAATTATATTATTATATTTAATCCAATTTAATAATATAATATATATTAAATTATATACTATAAAATATGTTATATATATAGTTCAGTTAGCGTTATTTCTAAAGGATATATTATTAATATATATTATATTATATATTTGATTTTGTATTATATATTTTATCATTAATTTGAAAAGAAAAATTAATTTTTAATTATATGATTACCTTAAAATTTTAATGAAAAATATTGAAAAAAAATTGTTTAAATTTAGATTGATGTGTATTACGTGAATTAGATATAACATATTTGATGGTAAAACGAAATTGTGTTCATATTATACGTGTGTGTTCCGTATGTAAATCCTTAGGTGAAGAACAGAGACGTAATCACAGAGGAAGCAGACTCGTAAATCTTAAGACCGTGTCATTCGCAAGTTACAACTCACGATTTAATAATATATCCTTTAGAAACAACGCTAACCAACCTAAGCTGTTATTTGGCTATGCAACAACATTTGGCCCCCTCAGGCTGATCACACTTTCAAACTTTCCAAATAATCTACCAACAAACTTTTCGTTAATGGACACTTTTTTTAGGAATTAAAATCATCATTAAACATTTGTTATAAATTATCAAAAATCAATCGATAGTTAAATAGAAAAAAGAAAAAAAACAAAAACAAAAAAAAAGATTTATTTTATTAGTCAAGTTAAATCGTGTTAACTTATAGGTAGGTGGGTGGTGATGGTGAGTGAGAGTGAAGGGATTTGTTTAGGAATCAAGAAGACCCTTCTGTACAAAACAACCCCTAAAATTCGTTCGACTAAGGGGTGAGCAACATCGAATGCCACGCGGATATATATCTGGGGTATCGGTGATGCGGAGTCACCACCCTTGGAGTAGCAGGATTAAAGATTAAATAACCAGCGTCTCACCGAGCAGAGCCAGTTAACCGGCCATTTAGCACCACCCTGACTTTCGATATACCTTCTTTCTCTTTTATCTCTCTCTCTCTCTCTCTCTCTCTCTCTCTCTCTCTCTCTTTATCTTTTA